TTTTTTTCAACATGTAAAAGGTCGCAATTTTACTCGTTCATGTATGGTTTTAACATTTTGATTGTACACTTCTGTATCACGATTTGTAAACTGTGTCATGCATTTAGCAATTATTAATTCTTTTCTTATCAGCTGAGACAATGAACTGCGTACCCCATCAACCTGCCTTGTGTTTCTTTATCCATTTATTTTCATTATTATAATTTTTATTATTATTATCCTCCAATGTGAAAGCATTGCCTGTGTGTGTGTAGGGGGGAGTTCACTTTACGTCCAAATTAAGTTTAATGTAAGATTTGTGTCTCACTGCTATAGTTCCTAGTTACCATTACTGTTTCAACAAAGTTCTTAAAATTATGGATGCATGTTTTTAACACAAAGAACTTGAATGCAGAAATCAACAAACACATTTTATGTCACTTATATGTATAACATACAAAATGCATTTAAATCTCAGCATTTAATTAATAAGAGCTAAATATCTTTAATAAATATTGTCAACAGTGTAAGAGTGCCTGCACTTTCTTTTCACAGTTATTTGTTTAAAATTCGTTTAGTACAAAATCTAATGAGTACTATATGACAAATAAATTATTATGACATAGGACATCTTACACATAATATGATGAGAAATCAACATCAAACATCATTCAAAGTAATTTATCAAAAATGACAATCATTAAGACAATTCAAAACAGGCAAAAATTTCAAATTCATAGATACAATCAATATATATCTAACATTTCTATAAAATAAATATCTATTATGAAACTGCATTATGTACTTATTATATTTCTTAATTAGATGTTTTGCTATTCCATATTTGCAACAAAATTTATTTATAAGATAAAATCAACACAACATATCTTAAAGCCATACAACACACAAATAAAAACAAAATACATGTACAATACGTTTTTATAAAATACCTTATTGTTAAAAATAAATGGAAGTATCTTCCAAATCCTTAAAACCCCTAAAAAAGATGTAAACTTTGTTCAGATTCACATGTAAATAAATGATTTATTTTAAGTACCCCCCCCCCCTCCAAAAAAAAATGGTCCTGCCACTGCACCTGTATTAACAATTTCCACAGAGCCCATCAATTGCAACACCTGAACAATAACACCAGTCAACCTCTTCCACCAAGACATTTTCACTTATCAGGCTGTGTTATTAATTCTACACATGCAAATATTAATCCTCCAAATGCTGAAATATGAATATGACCTGTCCTGCAGGTTGTTAGATTATGCACTATTATACCCAAAGTCTCAGAGTATTGACTCTCCTCTACCTACTTACAGATGTAAAAAAATAATAATAAATAAATAAAATTGAATACAAAATGAAAGATCAGGGTGGCTTCAGTAGCCAAGGACTCCATATCACAAAAAAAACTCGTTCAGTAGGTAGCTGGTCTTAGCTTTAAACTGAGAAACTGTATTCCTCTGAATGGAGAAACTCTTGATGTCATTTTTTATTTTTGTGAAATTGGCCAACATTCTCAGAAAAGTTGACATTGATTTATTTAAGGTCAAAGTGCACTGAAAGTTCTGCCCCATACTGTGGTGTCCCATAAATGGGTGTCTCTGTTGTTGTAGATCACTTTGCCTCTATGCATAAACTCAGAGTCCTCCTTTGCATATATAATTTTCACATATATAAGTTGTCATACTTGGATTGCTCACACTGCAGACAAAAATATAAATTTATGGCAAAAAACAAAATGGACCACTGGCAAGAATTTTAAACTACATTCACAAGACTCAAATTAAAACAACATAGCAAACAACATAAATAATGGAAAATCACAGATTTGTGGGATACTGTCAACTCTGTAGTAGAGCCTAACCTAGCCACAAGGTTGGACCTTCTTTTCCCAGCTAAGTGGTCCTGTTGACCCGAATCTCTTGGTCAATAGGGGCCGGCTGCTGACTGACCAAGTATCTGGTCATATCCACACCCAAGTCCTGCAGATTCTTAAGGTAGCTTGCTGCATGGTCATCTTTGGCTTTTTCAATTTCTACAAGAAGGAAAATCAAATAAATTCAATTAATTAGTTTATTGGTTTGAGGGTGGTTAGAAGTGTGTGTGTGTGTGTGTGTGCGTGTGTGTGTGTGTGAGAGAGCGAGAGAGAGAGAGAGAGAGAGAGAGAGAGACTGATTTACAGTGTAGGAAGAAAAATGGGATATCATTCTACAAACTTAATTGTTGGAAATGATGGGATTGATGAAATAAAGATGTGTTAACATACACAGATTTGAAACAAATAACACTAATTTGTATCATCAACTTATTACTTATTTTAACTGAATTAAAATTATCTTCCCAAAACTAAATTTCTGTATGTCATTTTTTGATTTAAGTTAAAGATGAATCTAAAAATTTAGTCAGGTTTTTGGAAGAAAGTGTGCATTTGTGAGTACCTTAAATGAATTACCTTGCTAATATAATAGATATATTATTACAAGTGACACATTTTGAAATTAAATATTTATAACCCTCTCCAATTTTGCAAGAAAACTTTGATCTACTGAAAACCGAGAGGCAATTTCAATATATAAAGGCAATCCAAACAGCCTTAGAACTGCTCTTATCTTTACCAACAATTAACATGTGAACAATTAATGAACTGCAATGAACAACTATACATACCCAGTCTTGCCTTGCTTTCTATATCTTCCTTCTGGAGTTCTGCCTGATGTCTGAGCTCTGTCAGCTTCAGTTCATGCTCCTGTTGTAGTTCTTCAAGTTTCTGGTTGTGTTGCTGCTTGGACCTTTCCATGTCCTGCTCTGGAGAGGGAAATAAAGTTCAGAAAGCAGATATGAGAACATGTCATACTTTGGCATTTTAAAATAGATCATTTATGACTTCACATGAAAAAGTTTAAACATTTGAGATAATAACATTCCTCCTTGCCATAACTCTGTCCCCCTCCAACTTCCTCATGTTTTTATTTCTCAGCCTCTGGTTCTTTTTACATCATTCATGACACACAGCGATATCTAAACACTTAGACTGATCTTCACATGTATATAATTAAGCAACAGGGATTTTATTCTCTTTCTCAGGTTACCTCCAGATAATAATTTCTGTTCAGAAGCAAGATCAAAATTTATCTGGTTAACTTGGTGGGTCAAGTGCAGGGCTTCCATTTACTACTAGGTGACTCTCTAGCTGTCAATCTCCTCAAGTATTTCAATACTGATACACACATCACACAAACATGAAAAGGGATGCCCCCTCTCTCTCTCTCTCTCTCTCTCTCTCTCTCTCTCTCTCTCTCTCTCTCTCTCTCATATGATTACTTTGTTGTGTTCTGGCCTGCTCCCTGGAGAGAACAAAATCCTTCAGTCTCTGTTGCTGTTCATGAACCTCTCCCGTGATACGCAGCTGAGTTCTGGACTGGATGGCATCATCATGCATAGACTACAAATATCATAGGGTACAATATACATTATGATACAATATGATAAAGTACATTATTTATATGATGTGTTAAAATATGATAGGATATAATATTTACATAATATAATACAATATGATAAAGTCAGTATTTATATGATATGTTATAATATGATAAGGTATAATATTTACATTATATAATACAATTTGATAATGTACAGTATTTATATGATATGCCACAATATGATAAGGAATAATGTTAACATGATATGATACAATATATAAAGGTATATAACATTTATATGACATTTATATTTATAACACCAAGAGGTGTTGTATGACATAAAAAAGTTTTATGCACTAAAACGTTTTTAAAATGTAAACCATTTGTGGAGTTCAGTTTAAAGGCCAAACATTGATGTAAAGAGAAAAATATATATACAGTAATTTTCAATTGCACCCCTCCCCTAATCCCCCTTGTAAAAGCAGTAGTTGGAGTTCTGTAAGACAAGCTTTCTTCAACAAGTTCATAGTCAATCAAACTGCTTGCTAAAACCCACACACATTAAGCTAATCCGAGCGATTTCCTTTGGAAAAGCACACTTATACAGCACCTATCAAGATAGTCTGACCCATATCCTGTGGAAATACGCCTTGATATGATATTTACCTGAAGCTGTTTTGTAGCATGGTATCCTCTGTACACAACCTTGTTGATGTCGTAACCAATCCTCTCTGCCCTCTGCAGAAGCTGTGGGAAAGTTTCTAATGTACTCAGCTTTTGAGTCTGTCTCAGAAATTCTTCATAGCTAAAATAAACATATCAACATTATCATAGTATATTATAGAGCCACCCCTCTCCATAAATATATTTTAATGAAAGTTTTTTTTTCTCCTATATTGATATATATAATATTTGAATTTCAATTTCACTACATTACTGTAAGAACCCTTTTATCATACAATTTGATGTGATACATGTAATGGAGCGAAGCCACTGATGTACCGAATAATTTATAATAATATATTATAATATATACAGAAAGCTTTAAGGTCTCTCTGTTAATGACGCAAAGTACCATAATTTGAACATACGTGAGTTTTCCAGCAAAGGCAATCACATCTGCACACACACCACTGGAAAAACAGTAAATAAAACATTTTATTAATTATTTCGTATTTAATGATGTCACAACCTATCTATCACTTCAAATTTATTTTGAAATGTCAAATTTATATATATATATATATATATATATATATATATATATATATATATATATATATATATATATATATATATATATATATATATATTTATTTACTATATTTATAAATCAATCATATTTTAATTTTTTTTCATTATCATAGTAATAATTACTCATGTTGCTCAATGATTGCAAACTGTTAGAATGATATTACTGATATTACTTATTTGCCTTAAACAGTTTACTATGTCTCTCAGAAAATGGCAGAATTTGTTAAAGACATATTGATAATTGTTTTGTAAATATATGCATTCCTATGATAAAATAAAAATATTCATGTGAATCTAGTGAATAATTACCGTACACATCAACCATATGCCCCTGTAATAAAGCCATACTTACTTAATCATATCTGCCATAGGATCATGAGTGGTTTCCAGCTGGAATGACAACCAGTATATCATATGTATTATACACATGAATATGACTATCTACAGGTATACAAATACAAAATATTTGTAGTACAATATGCAGTGTGTTGCACAAATAGAGACTAAGAAATATGTCTTATAATCAGTGCCCTCCACCAAATTACTAATTAAGCATTATACATAAATGTGTGTTGTCAAATTTGGTTCAAGGTCAATCAAATTATAAAAGGAATATTCTTTTCTCAGAAGAACATTCTTTAAATATATCATTATATAACTTCTATTGGATTTTTCATCATATTTTGTCCTATACCTTATTGAAATATGCAGAGAATGCCAATCTTTAACTGCATTTGGTGGTGCCCTGGTTTTTGTTTCACAAAAGAACTCACCATTTTAATAATATCCTTCAACTCATAGAAAATCATCAGTTTGACTGTGATCATGGTGTCATCTATTGTGCGTACCTCTCCAATCTGGAAGAAACAGTAAGTTACAGGGCCGTTTGTAATGTTTGTTATTTGCAGATAATGATGTAAGAGAGAAAAATGCACTTACATACTTACATGTACATTCCATACATAAGTAATATATAGTCTGACAGTGCTTCAATGTTGATAACTTAAAGATAAATAACAAATTTTCCAGTGTTTTTCAAAAATGTTAAATAGAATTTATTATATTTCTATGAGTTGTTTACAATGTTTTTATTGTGCAATATGGATATCATACAAACAGCTGTTATGCATTTAAGCACATTTGCAAAGTATAATCTGGTGGTTCATCATTTATCTTGATGATAACTTACATTATAATAAAAGTGATCAGGTATCACAGGAAGCTGACTGAATGTCCAAGATCCTGGAACCATTCTCCCCTCATTTGAATAATCTGGTCCATGCCATTTAAACTCATGAAGCCTAAAACCCCAAGGTACATGTACACGGTTATCGGAAAGTAGTATACACTGTTCCCATTGTGTTTATGTCTATAAACCCATACTAGTAACCATTCAACTGACCTAAATAATTTCAAAACCCATGTAAGCAATTATCTTTTTCCTCTCTTTTTAAAACTAAGACAAATAATCAATTCCATGTCAAAACCCAAATAAGCAGTTATCTTTCTCTCTTTTTTTAAAACCAAGACAAAAGATCAATTCCATGTACTTAAAATGGATTTTTAAAAACAGATGCATTAAAACTGATATTTACCATTCTTCTGCCTCTGGCATGAAGACAGTAGGGCCATCTATGACCCTTCTCTCAACAACCTGATCCGATCTTTTCTTGTAAACTACAACAACATGGTTGGCATCTATCTGTGTTCCATCTTTCACGTAGATACTTTCGTGCTCTAGGGGGTTACAAAACATGCTGCAGGGGCTGAAATTACAATGAGGGGTTTACATTTCAAGTTCAATGAGTTGGTATGCATTTTAACAAGTTTTCTACAAAAGATTTATAATTTCATTAAAAAATAATATCATTATTTAAAAAACAACAACAACAACAACAAAAGGGAAAAGAAATATCTTAAAGTTTAGTATAATTTCTTTTGTAATGTTGATATCTAAAGAAAGAGAGACAAGATTCAAAAGCAATACAAAAAAAAAGAAGGGTGAAACAACAACTCTGTATAAAACAGTCAAAACACCAATTTTACAATTCACAATATTCTCTGGACACAAAATTAGAATCTCACCCTGGCCTGTGCGTAACTCTACCATCTTTGTCCTTCACTACCAAGTACTGATACTGGTTAGCTGTGCATAAATCCAAAAACTGGAGTCTCTTCCTAAACAGGAATATCTAAAAAAAAGAAAAACAATAATGATTAGTACCACCTTAGCACCATACAGCATGATTCTGATTCTTCTCTGGTATTGTCTTATTACTTATTTATTCCTACTTCAGTTGGCTTTATTTTGGCATACTCACTTTATGGAAATAATTTAGATGTTATTCCTGTCCACAGTGTATTGCAAAATATAAGGTTGATATTATTCACCAACTTGTAATGATAATACTGTGGCCTAGCTCTTACACCTTGTGGTACAGTAAATGTTATCTGCCTATATGAAAACCATGCATTAAAACTGTGTTACTGATAGCAGGATTGATGGATGCCAAAATTTGAGATACCAAATAACACAAGAGATATTATGGTGACCAGTGAAGTTTCTTTTCTT